GTAGTGGGTTTCATCTTGAAAGATTCATTTTCTGAATTATATCACCTGTAAATAGAGCTGAATTTACCTATTATTTTCTAGTTGTATAGCAAAGTTTTCTTTTATCATGAAAAAATACTATTAGCAGAAGCAAATTAATGGTTAATATTACTTCATTCCTATAGCTGATTTCCCTCAAAGTCACTGATGAAGGCCTGAAATATGTATCTCATTTCCCGTTTTTTAACTTTTTTTTTCTTTGTTTGTACTCACATATACCATCATATCTGAATAGCTCTATATATGCTTAATCTAGTAAATATTAGTATTGGGCTTTTTATTAATATCTTAATGTATTAGAAGTAGGTTAAAATCCTCCAATTTTATGATCATTATTTATGTGGGATTTCCATTTGAAAAGTTTGCTACCTTTTGTTTTTAATTAGAGTAGAATTTTTTAATGAAATCATTAGGTTACCTCACCAGAATTGAAAAAAAAAATTATGCAGCTGTGCATATAATTCATAGCTCTAACTTACAATATTTATAACATTGTCAAGGAAATTTCAATCTTATCTAAAGTTATCAGCAATATATTAAATAATATATATAGTCTTTAAATCACCTTGATCAATTGTATTTCAACATACAGAAATAGTCCTTGATTTATATAAAACAACAGTAAACAAGACTTTAGATTACTGTAAGGATAAAACATAAATAAATGGAATAGACTAGATACATTAGAATTTTAATGTATATGGTCAAGTAATTTTCAACAAAACTACCAAGACAACTCAATAGGGAAAGGAAAGTTTTCAACCATGGTGCTGATAAAACTGGATATCCTTGTGGAGAAAATAAACATTGATCCTTACCTCACATCATAAGTAAGAATTAGCTTGAAACATATTAAAATCTAAATATAAAGATTATAAAACTTTTGAAAGGTAAAATAGGAGAAAATCTTTGCAACCTTGAGTTAACCAACATTTCTTAGGACACAAAAAGCGCAAACCATTTTTAAATTATAAATTTAACTTTTAAATAAAAAGGATTTGCTGTTTCTTTAAGTAGCAAAAGGGCAAGCCATGGAATGAGAGAAAATGTTGGAAGACAAACTAGCCAATTAAAAATGAACAAAAACTTTGAGCACACATTTCAGAGAAGAATGAATGGCCATTAATTGCATGAAAAAAATGGTCAGTACAGAAATGCAAATTAACATAGCAATAAGATAGTAAACTACAGTAATTAGAAGACTTCAGTTTAAAATCTGATAATGCCAAATGTTGAAGATGTAGAACTGTTTGATGCACTGTTGATGTGAATGTAAAATGGTACAACCACTTTTTAAAAGTTTGGTTTTTGTCTTTTGGTGTTTTTGGTGATGGTAGTAGGGATTGAGCCAAGGCCTCATACATGCTGGGCAAGTGCTGTACCACTAAGCTAAATCTAGCCATTCCAATATTAGTGTAGTATTCACTACCCAAGAAAAAATAAGGTATATGTCCATATAAAAATCTGTACTTGAATAGTATACTAACTTTATTCTCAAAAGTCAGAAACTGAAAGCAATCCATATGTCTATCAGTAGGTGAATGGATTAAAAAATATTTGCAGGTATTCTACCGGCATTAAAAAGAACAGACCATAGATGTATCCAAAAACCTGTTTTTATCTCAAAAGCATCTGAGTGGAAGGTGTCAGATCTGAAGGGAGACTGAGTGTGGAGGGGCACGTGGAAGTTCTTGGTGGCAGTGGGAGTGTTCTACATCTTCACTGTGTGGCAGTCACCCAAGTTAGCTTTTAATATTTCTTAAAGTGAGTGCATTTATTTTAGGTAAGCTCCACCTCAATAAAGCTAATATTTTACAATGCAGTTTGAAGTATTCAGTGGTTTCTTTAAACCTATAATTTTGTATACTGCACTGCATTATATCAAAATACTCTGCTCTTAGGGAAGAGAAATTAGCGTCTCCCATTTGTTACCATTATTCCTCCTCTATCTCTGCTTAAAAGGTCAAAATTGTATGTAAAATGGCTAGGTGTATAAAATAGGCATATGTAATCACAGTTGTCATGTAAGGCTAAGGAGCCACCCAATGCCATACAGAATTTGAAATACAATATCCCAACAACGACTCTTTAAAATGGGGCTGTTATTATCAAAAGTTACAACTTTTTAGGATCAAATAAAATAACAGACAGAAAGGCACTTTGTAAACACAATAAATCCCTATACCTGCCCACTATGCAGTCAATGCAAAATTACTTACAAATGAAAGTTCTAAATACATGTTAGTTCAGTTTTGCCCATAGACTCTTGGAGAGCAAAGCTGTGGATTTTTTTTCAACCATAAAAATCCAGCACCTAGCCAGCCCTAGTGTAAAACCATGTAAGCTGAGTTAATCTCATTTCCTGCTTCTGAACCCCAGTATGTTTACCAACATATTCAGAGAAATTAGGGCCTGTGGGGTTGCAGACTATTTTCTCGTTTCTAAGCCCAAGCACAACACATAAGAAGAGGTGTTAGGATTTATAACGTTATACTGGTTTCTTTATTATTCAAATACAAATATGTACTTACTTCTGACATCATAAAAGAACACATCAGAAGAGATTTAGACTTAGGCTGTTTGCTTATCCCAGCATACCTAGTCCCCTGGTTCAGGGAATCTAGTTCTTATAGAAGACAGCCTCATTGCTTCTAACCCAGGTAGGATGTCCTTAAAAGATGAGAAACTAATAAAGAACTAGCCATAAGGGGAGATGTAAGATGAAGACAAGCCAGGCATCTTCTCCATATCTTAATAAGTGAATGATTCAAACTTTTTTTAGACAACTCCTAAATATGCTTCCCACTACCTACCATTGTGTTAAAGGTAGGATGCAACTGTATAACTCAAAGGTGACTGAGCTGTCACCAACACCAACATTTGTGGCCAACATTTTCTCAGAAAATTTTAATTCATTAATTTTAATGACACACATGTACACTTTCTTATTTAGTGGGCAGCCAGAGCATAACTTGAAAACAGAAGTAAAGATACAAGAAAAGAGTTGGAGGGGTTTTTTCTCTTCTTTGCTGGCAGAGTGGCTCAAGTGGTAGAGTGCCTGCCTAGCAAGTGTGAAGCCCTCAGTTCAAACCCCAGTATCACAAAAGAAAAAAAAAATTATCCAGGAGTAAGCCTAAACAGTGCTTTGAGGTGGATAGATGGATATAAGTTGGAGAATACATGTTGTCATCTCTCTGGGATAGAGAATTCAGTGGATATGTTACCTGTGGGGTTAGTATTCATTTCTGTCTTTTCATTGTACTATCATCTAATAACCTGCTACTTCCGTTCTGCAAAATGTTAAGCTCTGAAGCTAAAATACACGTTTATAAACACACTTTGGGATAAATGGTTCTGTTACTCTTCTTCTGCTCTTTATTTCTGTCTCATTGATTTTTAAGTTTTAATTTAAAAAAAAAAGGTAAAGATTTAAGGTTGGAGGTACAGCTCAGTAGCAGAGCACTTGCCTAGCATATGAAAGGCCCCAGATTTGATCCCCAGCACTGAAAAAAGCAAATAAGTATTTAAATACAATACAGTTATCTTAGGTAGGTAAAGAACTAAGAGACTTAAAATTTTTTTAAGTTATTCTTGCTATTTTTAGTAATTATTCTACCCTTGCAAGTATTTATTATAGTCAGCCACTATTAATATTCCTATGTTCTCTAATTTGTTATAAAAAGTATAATTTTAACACAATAATACATTACATTTTTCATGAAAAATCATAAAAATATCTTTATATTTGAATCTAAATGTCAGTATGAATTTGTGAATTCTTATGCTTATATTAATACTTATACTTTGCAAAGTCTGTGGTAGTATATGTTTATTATAGCTGTATTTGACTACCTTGATATGTTCACAGAGATTTATATAAAGGCATTAGAAAAACAGGCATAGTCAGTCATGAGTATTCGTTATATATAAAGGTTATTGAGGATGCAAAGATATAAAAGATAGAAGAACCTAGTAATTGCCTTTAAGATCAGAGCACAAAGCATTAGTTTGGATTTTACAAGGCCAGCCAGCAACAAAAGAGCAGTAATTTATGAGCTCAGCGTAAAAGAATAGCATAATTGCATTAAAAATTAATGCTAATGAACACTAAAATGGGGAAGGTGGTTATGATGAAAGTTTGTATTCATCTTCCCTGGTTTGAATGATGGCTAGTGGCTTGATTAATGGCTTAATTTCTATCAATTAGCGGGGAAAAAAAATCTCCTGCGAGACAAGGGTAAATTGAGCATTGAATTACATATCTTGCTTTTGTGTGCTAAGAAAAAAGACCTGCGTATCTCTGATATTAGCCCCAGTGACAAATGTGGTGTGCCCGAGATGTCTGCGTTAGCTCTCCTGACAGGCGAGCTGTGTGTGGTTATGGGGTGTTTGGAGATGGCTGGCAGACAGCATTCACGGCATGTTTGTTACAAACATTCAGCCTTTCCACCTACAGAATTTTAATTAGAGCCAATAAGAATTCTAGAATCAAAATGGACAGCAAACAGCACCTGCAGACTCTATATTCTGACCTATTAATCCAGTATTCCTCAAATTATACTCCTTTCTTCTACCAGTACTTCCAGTAAAATAGGAATACTTCCAGTAGCTTTCATTTTACTGATATTATTAGTCTTACCACTCCAAAACTGGATCTGACTACCTAGGTTTCTTGAATTTGGAACAAGCATAAAGCTATAGTCTATGTAGTTGGACTGCATAGTGGTTGTTGGTTTAGCCAAATTTACATAAATCATGCGAGTGTTTTTTGTAACAACAATCGCTGTACAGTAAATAAAGGACAACTCTAAAGTGACAATTTTCTACTTTGGTTGTTTACAAGCTTAAAGGGGAAATGCTAAATTTTCTAAAAACTTTAGTTTTTATTCATTTATAAAGGTTTTTGTAATGTAACATATATAATTCTCTGAATTTTTCCAAATACAATGATTCTAGAAATACACATCTGTAATCTAGATGAAGATAATGTCAGAAGAACAAGACAATATATGTGTCATCTCCTCTGTAAGTAGAGGTACATTATATTTTACTGAATGAATAAGCATTAAAATGAAAAATAAGAACACCAAGAACATGTCCTGTTTCTAGTAAATGAATGGGGAGGGGGATAATTTGTTGCTTAGTGGGAGTAGATAAAGAATGCATTCAACTGGAAAATAATGGCAGGATCCCAATTCAGGGTTGAGATACCAGTTCCATCATCAACTACCCATGTGACCTTGGCCAGGTTACCTGTCAACCTCAGGTTCTCACCTTTACAATGAGAATGGTAATTATCCTTGCAGTTAATGATAGTTAAATGAGGTCTTTACCGTGAAATGTTTAGTGTAGAATTCCTTAAACATAACCTCCTCTTGCTTCTCCTTGTTCTGCTTCTACCAGTACAGCTCCTCTGGCCTTTTTACAACCATTTAAATGAAAAATTACCCTATATGACCTTCCCCATGAGAAAGGTACTACAAATAATGACCAAAACAAAGACTTCTGGGGGCCTACTGGTGCTCAGCGAAAGCACATTTTCTTTAAAACATGGCTTCTGCACCTTAGGTAGTTCATGTCCTGACACACCCATTAGGAAGCAGCGAACCTCCTCTCTAATCTCTGGATCCTGCGTGAGTGTGTGTTGGCAAAGCACCACGTCCCCACTCAGCCTTCAGCCTCATGTGACTCATGAGTGGACTTGCATAGTGGGGAGATAAGTGAACTCTTCTCAGAGATGTGCACGAGCCTGTCCTCCGCTGCTTCCATTCCCACGGTGCGGCCACTCCACAGCTACACTACACTACAAGATGTGTGGGCCAAAGCCAGTGACTACCTAGTTGAACTCCAATAAGGTTGCTAGCTTTTAAACTGTACTGTCAGAAATTTAAATTTGTATATGAAACTTTAGTACTATTACAGACTTAGCACTTTAGACTGTTAATAGTGCTAGCCATTTGTGCTTTGTTGGGGGACAGTACTGGCGATCAAACTCAGGACCACATACTTACTAGTCAGGTACCTACCACTTGAGCCAGGCCTCCAGCTCTTTTTGCTTTAGTTACTTTTCAGGTAAGGGTCTGACATCTTTTTGCCCAGTCTTGCCTTACGACATTGATTCTCCTACCTGTACCTCCCATATAGCTGGAATTACAGTTGTGCACCACCTCTAGTTTTGGTTGATAATGGGGTCTCTTTTACATTTTTACTTGAGCTGGACTTGAACCACAATCCTCCTATCTCCACCTCCCAAGTAGCTGGGATTGTGGGCATGAGCCACCACACCCAGCTATTAAGTGATACTACTGGCTCCCTAACCCGCAGTGGGCATAGATACTATTATCTCAGTCACACCATGCTTCTCTCTGCTGAACTGTCACCACATCAGGGAGTTCTTCCCTGTTCACCCTCAACTAGCTTCCTCCTCCTTTCTGACCATTAATGCTGCTCTGTTTTCCTTGGCATTGTATTACTTATTTAGTTTTTCATTATTTGTCTCCTGCATTAAAACATAAGCTCTAGGAGGGAAGAAACTCTTGTTCAGTATCTAAATCCTGGTGTGTGGAACAACATCTGGTGCACTGAACGAAAGGAGAGAGGGGGGGGGCGGGGAGAGACTGTCTCAGTCACCCTATGATATTTAGGTCATTCATTTTCCTCATGCCACAGATAAGAAAACTGAGACCTGCACAGCTTAAACAACTTGTCCAAGGCCACACAGTTTGTGAGTACGACAGGGAGAGTGTGACACAGCCTTTTAAACTCGCCACGTAAAGACATTGAGTTGGACATTTGCTCCATACTAATTTAATGGATATTTAATATCATTTAATTTTCAGTTATTCAAAAGTATATATTGACTGCCTAATAAATAATGAGCACCCTCCACCAGGTTCTGGAGGTGGCACAGAGTTGTGTCTCCTGGAACTTATCAGTAACAAAGAGGTTAACATCCGTACAAGGCAGCAAACACCAGGAGCAAATGAATTATGGAAAAGCCCCTCTCTCACATGTGGTGAGGGAAGGCAGCTCAAAACACAGGCATTAGGCATAGGTGAGGAAGGTTCGATGAAGGTGAGAGCACTCCAGGTGAGAGGAGTCAAGTGCAGCATTTGCTGTGGATTTGTTTTTTGTTTGGGTTTTGTTCTGATTGTTTTCACAGTACTGGAGTATGAACTCAGGGCCTTATACTTGATAGGCAGACACTCTACCACTAGAGCCACACCCCAGCACTTTTATTTTTTTGGCTTTAGTTTATTTTTCAGATAGAATCTGGCATCTGGGCTGTGATTCTCCTACCTGCGTCCCACATAGCTAGGATTACAGGTGTGCCCCACTACCTTGGCCTTCGATTTTGTTTTTTATACAGTCTAGCCTGGTGCCCAGCTCACTTGCACTTACTGAAATGTTTAACCAAAATTCCTCCTGGTACAGCCTCATTATTCCTATTACTTAATCTGATATGGTAATCAGTTTAATATAAGGTGAGCTTGTGTTGGACCCCATACAAGAAGTGTTGTTGAAGACACTTCAGGAGCCTCAGCTTCCTTTATGGTTTAATACTATAATGTAAATTCCCAGAAAACTAAGAGATAAGCCCTGTTCACCTAAGAAGTTTTCTAGTGTTTCAAGTTATTTGTGGCATCAATTCTAGAAATTTGTTCTGATGGACATAAACTGTTGGGGTTGGATGGATTTCTAATGTGTCCTTCATTCTAACATGAAATGTATTGTACGAAAAGGGAAGTAGAGGCTATATTAAATTCCAAGCAAATTTCTTTGCATATAAATTTTACTGAATAGCCAATTTACCATACAAGTTTGTTGTTTCTTTCATTCTTGTAAAACAGTTAAAAATGCTTTATATTTCAAGGATTGATTTTTGAGTCCCTATCTTGTACCATAAAAAGGAATTTTATGGATGTTTCCATTCTTGTCTAAAATTTGAGTCAATTTAATCTGAAAATAACATAATTACTTGTATTATTCATGTATTTGTAGTGATTCTATTAGTATATATTTTTTCCTGTAACAATAGCATAAATAACTCAATAACTGGGGCCAATTGACCCAAATTCTTTATAACATAAGATGCATTTTAACTTAGGGTAAATTCATAAAATATTAATATTCAAAAGGAATCAGTTGAAGATGAGCTCTCTGTATGTGTTGAAGATATCTTTCATGAAACGCAAGTTGCCCTTATCTCATGATTACCTCTTGGGCAATAGCGCCATCTGCTGTTACCAACTAGTATCGCTACTAGAGGAGACTGCTTTATGTTTGTAATCTACAAATTTAGAACAGACTAAAACTTTGTCTTTTCAAGTGAAATTTTTACATTGGCCTTTGTAATTTTAAATTTATATATCATTTGATAATATTATAAAAATAAATCTTTGTAAATATTATGAGATTGATTGTCAGATATAATTTAAGAGAGCCTAATTTTTTATAACATCAATAGTAACTCATAAAACATTTTATTTTTTTCATCACAGAAAGACCAAGATTGTTTTCTAGTCAATGAATTAGTATTGATTTTTTTTGGTCTCTAGTAACATGGTTTTGTAATTCCATTATTTTTTTCACTGTGAAGTCTCTTCCACTGATGTCTGACAAACAACATAGAAGTCATTTTGTTTAAGAATAATGTATTTATAAAAATCATTAAGTGCTAATGGGTATATTTGCTTCATGTTTATGATGTCAATGTTTTAAAACATAATTTTTATTCTTCTAGTAACTTTGCTGTCTTTATTTTTACCTCATGGCTGATAATTATAAGATACTGTGTGCTAAGCATTCATACAAGCATATAAAAATAATTAGTTTTAAGTCACATTTCCCCAATCTTAAATTTCATACAGTATTTAAAATAAATTTAAAACAATGTAGCAATGCATGTTATTGATGTGCTTTGTTCTCGTCAAACACCAGAAGATGCCCAACATACATCTGTGGACATTGATGTTAGAATTTTGAGTATGAAGCAATTTAAAATATTTTGTGCGTATTGTTTTCAGACAACAGAGCTGAGCTGTTACAAGACTGAAAATGTAAATCTCTCATGACTCTTTCCAATTTTAATTTAAACATCACTCTCTTACAACTAGAGAATGGTCCCGGCATTAAAAGATAAAAGCCGTGTGGGTTTATTTTCATATTGAGAGTCAGGCAAACTGGCTTTCTCCTTTCTGCACTGTCACCTTGTTAATCCTGAGGTGATTTTTAAAGAAGCACAAAGATGATGTTCTGCTTTCTCTAATCTTTTTCCTTCCCGTTATAACTTCTGCAGTGCTGTTTTAATAAGCACACTAGCCCTTTGGCCAGCTTCTGTGATAACACTTTTATTTGTATTAGGAGCTGGTTGTATTTCCAAATTTAAAGCTACAAACACTGCACACTTTGGAGACCAGTACCGTTTGTGAGTTCACCTCTGACATTTAATACTAATGATGTGCTTTTGCACATCCAAATGAGAGAATATGTTAGAGAAAAAAATCTTAGTGATCCACAGTTGATACATATGAGATATCATCCTGAAGTCAGAAATAATGTCTTTTGGTTGGGAATTAGTGACAGTGAAAAATGCTGTTAAAACTAATTAGGATCTATGCAAGAAAATGTTGTTTTCATATGGACATTAAAGTTGGATTAGGTGGAATGGTACCATTATGACTTTGCTCTGTTACATTCTCATACATGTAGTTTAAAAAATTATCCACTGGTAACCAGGAATGTGTTAGTTTTAATACATTAGTTGGACAAAGAATCTCTCATTTCATATGCTCAGTGTGTTGCACAATTAATATCTAAAGGAGCTTTTATTCTAAAGCATGTGGAACTACTTGCTCTTCTGTGGCACTCTGACAGTGCTTGCATTTATGTAGGAAAATGTTTTCTTCGAAAACTAGGAGTGTTGGCTCTGATGGCTGCTACTTCCAAGTGTTCAGAGCATGGTTTCTCACATGGAAAAAGACTGGTTACAGCTGTCAGGGACACATCTTCACAGGCGCTCTCTTTCCCATAAGTAAGCAGAAGCTTGCACAGGATACACAATTATAATTTGTGATTGGCCAAAAGTTGAGGCAAAGATCTTTAAGAAAATATTAATTTTCATTTAATTATGAAATCAAAATTCTTTTGTGCCCTTCATGTTTATCTCTATAGCAACATTCAACTGTTTCAGCTTAATATAAAAATTACTTTGAGGCAAATAATTTAACCTACTTGTCAAACTAATTATAGTTGTTTCTTAGAAAATCTAGACATTATCCATGAGGTCTAAATCCCAAAGTTTTTGGGTGCCTTCGCTGAGTATACAATGGCTCCTAATTCAACCATGGATCCATGTTAGCTTGGAACAAGAATTTAAACAGCAAAGATGTAAGCCATGTTACAGTTTTTCTGCCCAGCTAACATGTGAAAAACAAAATGCAAAAATATGAAATGAATCATGCAGCTACTCATTAAAACACCAATGTAAGCGGAACAGACTTAAAATATGTAAGCCATTAACAGGGCATTATTAGAAAAAACTCATAAAACTATAAGATTACTATACAGCAGTAAATTGGAATAAAGAAATCTCTAAGCTGCTATAGAGTTATCAGGAGGACATATTAAGTTTAAAAAGTCATACATATATAGGAGTGTGTAATATGCTAATTTTGTACAATAAGCCAGAAGAGAATATGCATACTTACAATTTCAGAAATAAAAAATGGAATGATAAATCCAAACCTAATAAAAGTGGTTACCTGTACATTACAGAGAGAACTAGCTACACCAAATATGAGTGATAGAGAAACATATTAAATGATGCCATGAGGATAAAAATAGCCAGGTCCAGAGTGTGGAAAATTTAATGGCATAAGTGATGTAGTTTCTTTAGTAAGTAAATGGCAATGAAAGAAAAGGATGGTAGACTATTAAGTAATGAAAAGAGACTTAAAATACTTAACAAACAAGTGAATGTGTGGTCCTTGTTTGTATCCAGTTCAAACAAGCCAACATAGAAGAACATTTGTGTAAACAATCAGTGAAAATTAAATATGGACCATGTAAATGATATTAAGGAATTATTGATAATATCTTAGGTGTGAAAATGGTATTGCAGTTATGTTGTTTTTGACTCCTCATCTGTTAGAGATACCTATTAAAATACATAAGAGTAACATGGTATGCTGGCTGAGATTGACTTTTACCTATTCCAAGTTTCTGCCCTGGAGTAGCATGGATGGATTATATGAGAATAGCAGGACATTAATGATTACAGAATTTGAGTGATGGGAACAGGGGACTCATTGTCCTCTTACTCCTTTTGTATATATTTCCATGGTAAAATGCTAAAATAAAAGTAGAATGGGTAAAGCCCTCCCCCAAGATCATCCTAGATTAGTTGAGATCTTAATAGCAGTGCCTCCTGAGCAGTGTTTTAGGTTTTAGGTGAGAGCCTTAGTTTCTGGGAATGTTATAGTTGAGAATTTTAAGGAGGGAAACTTTCTTATTATACTTAACTATAATGTATTTTCTTTTCATCCAGTTGAATTTTGTAAGTGGTAAAGTTCTTTGTAGAAAGAAAGATTCAAATACCAAAATATACTGACATTATATATCCTCTTTTTTTTTAGACCAAGCCACCCTAGTAGAACAAGTAAAAAGAATAAAAGAAATTGAAGCTATTGAAAGTGATTCTTTTGTTCAGCAGACATTTAGATCGAGTAAAGAAGTCAAAAAGGTAAATTTTCATATAGGCATTATGAATACGTCTTTGGATTCCAACTGAACAGATGCTTTATTAATGGATTTTACTTGATGTAAGTACTTCTTCTCATGGGTAGATGAAGTAGGGAGAGAGAGTGTCAGACATGTTACTAAGAAAGAATGAATTAGAATCAGTTCAAGTTAAACCTGAGTAAAAATACACTGTAAAATGAATCTCATACCATTTTTATTTTAAAATTTACCAAGATTACTAACAGGTCACCTTGGTGGTTCAGTATCAGTAATACACACTTTGTGAATATAGATAGTTTCCTTTCAAATTATATGTATATACTTCCCGAATTGACATTCCTGGATAAGCGTTAGGAAAGATCTTTAAATGATAAAACTAGTAACACATATCTCGACTTTTTCCAGATGTGAATCACTTATTCAACTCCAGATAAAAGTTGCTGGGAGTGATATTTTATTTCTGCCAAATCTTTTATGTATTCTTTCACTCATTATTCTTATTCATTAGTGAGACTGCTTTTAGGAACTTACATACCTTTAGTAAGAAAAGCTATTCTAGGAAATACATGTACTCTTTAATAAAAATCATATAATGAAGACATATAATAGTTACAGTTGCCACTTACTCTGAAATATTCTACATCCTACCAGTGCATTAATGACTAAAATATCCTAATGATGAATTTAATAGCTCATTAGTTTCCCTCTAATATTAGATATTTAAGTAATTATAAGTTTTGAGACATGTTTGCAAATGTGCATTATTAAATATATTTTTCAAGGTGAAGTTAATTTGTTAAAGGTTCCATTGTTTAACACATTTCCAAAGTCATCCTCCAAAAATGTGGTATCAACTCAAATTCTACCAAAAGTGCAAGGAGGTGTCTGCCACTTACACAATAGTAAATACAAAAGTCCACTCACACTTGTTCATGTTTTCTGACCTAATAGATGAAAATTGACATATTAGTTTTATTAGAACTTCTGTAGTTACTAGTGAGATGAAATTCATTTTTTTTTTTTTTTGTAGAACTGGGGTTTGAACTCAGGGCCTTCACCTTAAGCCACTCCCCCAGCCCTATTTTTGCGGTGGTTTTTTTTCAAGATAGGGTCTCGTGAACTATTTGCCTGAATTGGCTTTGAACTGCCATCCTCCTTATCTCTGCCTCCTGAGTAGCTAGGATTATAGGCATGAGCCACCGGTTCCCAGCTGAGATGAAATTCTTAATGTCCGTGTACTTTTAACTGAGTATGTGATGCACACCAGGCACAGGACTAGATAGCCTTGAATAATCCCTGGGCTGTCACTATGTTGCTTACATTTGGAGTTTTGATAGTTTATCATCACAACTGCTAACACCTGGAACTATGAAATGGGCATTCATACAGATAGTTCCCCATTTTATTTAATATCTTACACTTGCATACTATAAGACTATTCATCTATCCTAGTAAAGTTACTGTATTTATTTTTAAATTTTCTTTCCTAGTATTTGTTTTCTGGAATTCATCCCGATCTCTCAGTTCTTTTTGGACTCTTTTATAGTCAAGTAGCACTTTCTTTCTGTAGAAATACTTATTCCTCTATAATTATCATACTGGGTTTTCTTCTAAACAGCTTTTTCCTGTTTGATACTACTTATTGATGCTTCCTTTTAAACTTATTTTTAATTCAATGCCTCTTCTTCAAAAAAGCATGCCTTGAACGTTAGGAAGTGGTGTTAACAGGAGATAGCATTTACTCTAGTGAATGCATAGTCGTCTAAAGTCTTCACTATCCCAACACTGAATTTTTATGAGTAATTTCGCTTTGAAATGATCAGAAGAGGAGTGATAGGCTAACAAGAATATAAGTAAGGGACAATTAATAACTTAGAAAGTGACATTCCTTTCTAATTTCTGAAATGTCTGTGTCTGCAATATAAGACTAGGATCTGGGATGCCCAAGAACCTGAATTATTTATCAGGAGATTGCTTAGCAAAGAGAAGTGAATTATCCTGAGGCCGATCTCATGCAGATCGTGAGAAGGTATGATGGAACACCCTGCTGCAGAGAAATAGCTAACTCTTCCTCTTCTGAACAGCTCTGTGTACTTTGGTATAAACATTGTATCTCTGAAACAGGGTGTTGTTTCATGCTAATCCCCTGGACATTGCCTTCAGTTGGTACAGTCTTTCCCTAGCTGTGTTAATTCCACTAATTAAGCTAAGAAGATGTTACCAGAAAAAAATGGCTAATACCAATACATCCTAGACACTGTGTCTCCTGCAACATACATTGATTTAACTAGTTTAACTCTCTAAAGTCAAATTTCTCTTGTCTAAATAGATAATCTGATAGCTCCTGGTACATCATTAACTTAAGGAGCTTTTTCAAACTGCTGTCCCCTATAAGCTTAGTATCAATTATTTAACCCTGAGATTGTCGTATCTGGCAGATAGTTCTCCTGTGTTAAAAAGGGAAGTAAATATGCAGCATGGGCTTTTTTGTTCATTTACTTGAAGTACATTAGAAAACTAGATTTTCCAAACTGAAACACCAGGTGGCAGTGTTGCTCAAAGCCAGAAGCCCGATAGTGCCACTATTGAGATACATGGTACAGTCACTGCAAAATTTTGTTTTCCTCGCTTAAATAAAGAAGCAATTAATTATTCTCCCCACAAAATTTTAAATCGCCCACTACTAAATAATATGTTTACTTTCACTTCTCAAAGAAAACATTAATGTACCATGGAAACCAAAATATAATGAGATTAACTGGCCTACTTAGTAGCATGCTTGCCACCTAAAGAGGTGGGATCCACGTCTTTGGAAACAGGAGTAACAGCACTACGTATCCTTTCAGGGGAACTCAGCATAGATGGCCAGTCTCCTAGCTAAGCACCATGATACGCGGCTGGGGTGTGTAGATGGTGAGCTCCTACAGGTTCTGTGTGCCATTGTAGATGACCACAGCTACTTCTTGGGCCACATCAAATTGCATGTTTTACACCTTCCCCAGTGCAAAATGCTGGGATTACCTTTAATTGTCCTCAATTTCATAAATGATCAATATATCACTTAGAGCCATGAACCTTCCAAGCCAACTACATTGGAAACATAAATGTTTGAAAGTTGAATGGAAAAAATACTCGTTCCAAAATAGAAGAAAACTGCCAAATCAGATTTAATAAATATTTCTTTAAATGTCTATAAAAGTTAATACTATGCTTAACATAGTAATTGTTCAATTTAGTATTCATAAACATTCCCACATTTGGAAACAATTTGTGGAATAATGCCTCTTACTTTGCAAGAATTCTTACACATGTTTGGTACTTCCCAGACTTTCCCTTCCACCATAACCTAACATAGAACTTAATAAGATCTATGCAACTCTAAAAAGTCCAATGCTGGAGATATTGGAACTTCATCCAGTGAAGAAATGGGCACATGAATTAAACAGGGAATTCTCAAAGGAAGAGGTACAAATGACCAGTAGATGCATGAAGAAATGTTCAACTTCCCTGGTTAGATTTCATCTCACCCCAGTTAGAATGGCCACATTCAGCAGCAATACCAACAACAAATGCTGGCAAGGATGCGGCAAAACAGGAACCCTTATACACTCAATGGGAATGCAAATTAGTACAACCATTATAAAAAGCAGTATGGAGATTCCTCAAAAAAGCTAAAGATAGAACTGCCATATGATCCAGTGATACCACTCCTGGGCATCTACCCAAAGGAACATAAATCAGGATATGGTAAAGACACCTGTACACCAATGTTCACTGTAGCACTATTCACAGCAGCCAAGCTATGGAAACAACTCAGATGCCCTACAACTGATGAACGGATCAAGAAAATGTGGTTTATGTACACAATGGAGTTTTGCTTAGCCATAGGGAATACTGACATGTGGTTTGAAGGTAAGTGGATGCAATTGGAGGACATCATGTTAAGTGAAGTAAACCAGGCTCAGAAAGGCAAGAGTTCCATGTTTTCTCGAATATGTGGAAGATAGATCCGAAAGACAAACATATACACAAAAACAAGCATGATCATATACAAACTCATATGCAGAGCATGTTCATAGTAGTGGAACCTCAGGGAAGGAGGGAAAGGAAAATAGAACAATAGAGCATTAGTAATATTGTAAAGCATAACATCTGTGAAGGTAGAGGATATAAGGATGTGAATTGAAGGCTGTTGAAAAATGGGAGGGTGGGAAGTAAAGGGACAGGGGAGAGTAATGACAGGGGTTGAACAGACCAAAGTAAAGTATACTCACAGCAATGATACATAGAGAAATCCCTTTAAACATCAACTTAAATATTAATAATGAAAGACAGGACTGTAAAAATAGGTACAGATGGGGAGTAGTAGTGGGAGGAGAGAGGGTAAATGAAGCATATTAAGGTGAGGGTCTATGGTGGACGGACTTCATGTACTTATATGAAATAGAATAGAGAAACCTCTTGCAATTGCTTTAAGTGGGGCAGAGAGAGGATTGAGGGAGAGATGTACAATATGAGCCTAATCAGAATTGCCACTATGAATCCCCCACTGTATAATGAACATATCCTACTTTTAAAAAATAAAGATTTCTGTTTTCAGATACTGAGCAATAGGCATAGGGGACTGGTGCTCTTGAAGGAAATAAAAGTTGAATGCCATAAATACCCCAGCTTTCTGCCTGGAATCAGTTTCCTGCTGTGGTACTGGGAGGCAAACCCAAGCAGTGTGGTGTAGCTGAGAGTAGGAAGCAAGGTTCTAAGCTCAGGGCTGCAATATCCACCTGACTCTTTTACTCACTATATACTATCCACTCTGCCTCCTCTCAAGATCTTTGTAGTTACTGTTCCCTCTGACCAAAGCATTCTGTCTTCCCAATCATATACTTGGCTTCTTCTCATTCTTCAGGTCTTAAATTTTACCTCCTGAAAGATGATGTCCCAAACAGATCCCCCTCCCAACTCCCCATCTGTCCCTGTGTTAGCACCTTATTTATTCCTTGTTAGCATATACTACAATTTATGGTTATGTATTTATTTGGTACATATTTGCTTATAATTCATCAACTCCATCAGCAACATGTAATCTTCAGTTAGAACAGGGGCTATGTCTATTTTAGTCTCCTTATGTACACAGTCTTAGCAATTAGGAGTACTCAGTTATATGGGAGAATAGAAGGGTCTCCAATTCTAAAATAAGTTAATCTAAGAAAGGATTAATTCATTCATGCATAATCTATTCTGTAGACATTTTTCTCAGTGACATTTGTTTTGAGCTTCATTTAGAGAAGTAGAAGTTCAGAAATAGGTAAGTCAAAATGGAAATTGAAGAAACAACCATATGGGAGTAGAAATAAGTCCACATAGTGAAGTTAATCTCTCATTCATCTCTTTTAAATTATATTTTAATTTTTAATTTCAGTCTTATCTAATCTGTTTCATATTATTCTTAAAACCTTGCTGCTAACCAGCTACTTCCCTGGCCACTGCCTTCCTCAGGGAAGAAGAGTAAACTACATATTGATGGCTCCTACAAGGCAGAAACAATGATTTATTTGTCAGTGGGGCCTCAGCAATTAGTACAGTACATGGTATATGGAGAATACTCAATAAATATGGAATGAAATGAGTATAATTTTCAAGAAATTCTAGTTTCATTTCTGACTAAAAAGTTTTTTCCGAGCTTTCATATTATTTTTTAAATGTCTTAAGTATCTTAAAACATAGCCTATGAGTCCATCAACTAATGAATGGGTAAATAAAATGTGGTGGATCCATACAATAGAATATTATTTAACAATAAGAAGAATGAAGTACTGATATATGCTAGGACATGGATGAGCCTTAAAAACATTACGCTGAATGGAGGAAGAAGTATAAATGGCCAAAAAACACATGAAGAAATTCTTAACATCCCTGGCCATAAAGGAAATGCAAATCAAAACCACATTAAGATTCCACCTCACTCCTGTTAGAGTAGCTATCATCAAACACACAAATAACAAATGTTCGCGAGGATGTAGGGAAAAAGGAACCCTCATACACTTTTGGTGGGAATGTAAAGTAGTACAACCATTATAGAAAGCAGTATGGAGCATCCTCAAAAAACTACAAATAGAACTGCCATATGATCCAACAAAATACCACTCCTGTGCATATGTAAGTCATAATACAAGAAGGCACCTGCATACCCATGTTTATTGCAGCATTATTCACAATAGCCAAGCTATGGAAACAGCCCAACAACTGATGAATGAATTAAGAAAATAGAATTACATTCAGTTGTAAAGAGAAATGAAATTGAATTTTTATCATTTACAAATGGATAAAACTGGAGAATATCATTTTAAGTAAAGTTAGCCAGGCTCAGAACTACAAAGACCACTTGTTTTCCCTCATAAAGATACAAACACAAATACAAGCATTATCACATATACATACATATATATATGCAAAACATGTTTTCAAAAGTCAGACTGTTAGAGGAGTCTAAGAAAGAAGGAAAAGAAGAAAAGAATCATAGAGATTGGATAATAATGAAACACATCACATCTGTGTAGGAACAAGATATAATGAAACACACTGAAAACTGTTGAACAACACAGGATAGGGGGAAAAGAGTGAAGAAAAATAATAGAAGAGGTTTGACTGTTTAAAGTATAGTGTATTTACAGGTAAAATACAAGGCAAAATACCACTGAACAATGAACAGACAACAAAAGGACAGGAAAGTAAAACAGGTCATGCTAAGGGAAGGGTAGTTGTGAGAAGGGGGAGGGTAAATGAAGAAGGTGAAGAAGGGTGAATATGGTTAAGGTACTTTCTATACATGTATGAAAATGGAACATGGAAACCTGTGGAAGTCATTTATAGATGGGGAGTGGAACAAAGAAAAATGCCAAAAAAAAAACAGGGGAGTAGGTAAAGAGGGAGAATAATGGAGAGGATGAACCAACCCAGGGGAATAAATAAATATATATATATATATATATATATATATATATATATATATATATGAAAATGTCACAATGAAACCCCCCTATATAACTATCATATACTAATAAAAAATTTTTTAAAAAAACACTGTACTGAATGAAAGAACCAGTTACAAAAGATCACAAATTGGAGGAATCCTTTTATAGAAAATAATGAGACTAGATAAATCCATAGAGAAAGTAGAGTAGTTGGTAGCCCAGGGATAAGAAGGTTGGGAGAAATGGGAATTGATTGCTAATGGGTATGGAGTTTTGGAGGGGATGATAAACATTTCCTAAAATTGACTGTGATAATAGTTGCACAATTCTGTGGATATGCTAAAAGCCATTGAATTACATACTTTAGATGAGTGATTTGTATATTGTGTGAATTATATCTAAGCAAAGATATAATTATAGATTATATAGACTATATAGATTTTTTAAAGCTAACTTTGAAATTTGCCTTCTTTCCCTAAAAGGCCAACTAAGTCTTTTGCAACCTTGCTTTGATTATTAGAATATGAATGTATGTATGTATGTATTTCAGTAGTACACAGTAAGCACTAAGTTCTTAAGAAAAATATGCTAATCATAAGAAATAGTAAAGATTTCCTCAACATTTTTGTATTTATTTGTTTAAAGAACAGTTGTTTCTCATTCACTAATGCATAACATTTTCGAGATGAGTATGGTCTCAAAGGAGCTTAATAAAGCAATTATTCAACATCAGAAATATTATAAAGTACCCTTATAAGAGAGGTTATGTTAAAATGAACACGTTGTGTCTTTCAGTCAGTGGAACCTAATGAAGTGAAACACACAGCCTCAACATCAGGACCAGCATCCACTGCTGCTGATCCACCCAATGTTGTAAAAGAAATAGACCCTAGCAGCATCCCTACAACTATCAAGTACCAAGATGACAACTCTCTAGCTCATCCAAATGTGAGATCCTGAAACATGATAAGTGCCAATTGAAGGCTATCTAAATGAAATTATTTCAAACTGTTATACTTTTGTTCTGGCACCAAGAAGACTATTGGAAGAATGGGTCATATCTTCCTATTTGCTAAAAATAGGCAGCTGACTTCTAGGCCTTAGAGTTTGTTACATATATTTGAATGTGTTATAACCCAACTCATGTTTCCTGACTTCTAGAAGTATTTATGTTTAAGAAAAATAGAAGAGTTTTTCTAACTGTGACACTTAAAGTTCTAATTCTAGCTTAGCTCTAGTTGGTTCTTTGACCTTGAGCACATCACTAATACCATATTTTGCTATTTTTATGAAATAGAGTAATTCTGCTGTGTCTCTCAGAAAGGTTGTAGGAAATGAACTCACAAATACAGGGTACAAAATTATTAACCAGTGATGTTACTTTACTTTTTTTTTTCTGGTGCTCCACTAAGCAATACTGTTGGGTTTTTTTAATTCATTTATTCACATGTGCATACATTGTTTGGGTCATTTCTCCCACCTGCCCCCCTCTCACTTTTTTTTCTTTTTGCAGTATTGGGGATTAAATCTAGGGCTTCAACTTGCTAGGCAACTGCTCTACCACCCCAGCCCACAGCTGAAAATTATTAATTCCCAATAGATAGACTTTAAGTAGTCATCAAGGGTTAAACAATATCCAAATCTTGAGAAATGTTTTCTGTAAAGGTGATTTGTATTACGTCAAATCTAAGTTACTGGTCAAAATAACAGTTTTTCTTTTCCCTTTTTATTTCAGTTATTTATTGAGAAAGCTGAAGCTGAAGAAAAGTGGTTCAAGAGATTAATTGCTCTCCGACAAGAAAGACTAATGGGTAGTCCTGTGGCCTAACTAATATATTTATGGTTGACTTGATAGTAACATTGGAAGTTTAGATTTTTAAATCCCAATACTCTTAAAAATAATTTAGGTGAGTATATTAAAAAAAGTGATCTCATTTCATGCTTTCCTCCTGTAGACTTGAATACTCATTGGTTTGAACTGGGTCAAACATTGTGAAACTAGTATAAAATTTAACAAGGCATGAAAATGTCATACTATTAATAAAACTAATCATAAGAATATCAGTGTTCACATAAATGGTACATAGTGGTGTTTCTTAGTATACAATTTGGTGGCCCTGGGGTTTGAACTCAGGTCCTTGCTTTTGTTAGACAGGCACTCTTCCACTTGACCCATGCCCCCCAGTCCTTTTTGCCTTAGTTATTTTTCAAATAGGGTCTCAAGTATATACCCAAGCCAGTTGGACCATGAAACTCCTATGTATGCTTCCTACATAGCTGAGATGATAGACATGTGCCACCACACCTAGCTTTTATTGGTCTAGATGAAGGTCTTGAAAACGTTTTGCTGGGCTGACCTCAAACTGTGATCCTCCCAATCTCCACCTCCCAAGTAGCTGGGGTTATATGCATGAGCCACCATGCCCAGACTTGATCCAGTATTTATTAGTTATGCTCATATAAGAATCATTTTTTGCTATAAATATAGGATTTCACTTTCCATGTTCTATGAAACCCCTTTGAATCTTTTTGAAAATGGTTAGGCACAATAAAAAAGACCCTAAATAATCTAAGCAAAATGAGCATGTTAAAGGAATAGCATGCTTATTTTTTTTAACTCTTCAACATTAAATAACTGGATGATTTTTGCTAAGAGGTCAGCTTCTGCTAGGTTCTCCTTTGAAACCTGTAAGTAGATCCCATCTCATTCTTACAGAAATCACATACTCATTACATTAGTCACTGACCTGACATAACTTAGAAAGAGGAAAGATTCATTTTGGCTCCCAGTTTCAGAGATTTCACTCTATGGTCAGCTGGCTCTGTTGCTTTTAGGTCTGTGGCAAGGCAGAAACATCATGGAATAGGGGCATATGGTGGAGGAAGCTGCTCACCTCATGGCATCCAGGAAACAGACAGAGACAGAAAGGAAGAAACCAGGGACAAGATATACCCTTCAAAGGCACACCCCCCAATGACCTTCCTCCAACCAGGCTCCACCTCCTAATAGCCCACCACCTGTGAGCTCATAAATGGGCTAACCCATTGATGATGTTAGCATACTCATGGCCCAGTCACCTCTCAATAGTACCAACAGCTGGGACCAAGCCTTTAACATATGAGCCTTTTGAGGGGAACACTTCATATCCAAATCATAACATACACTAGACTTAACCAGTTAGCTAAATACTCATGCTGGAGAAATCATTTCTGAAAAAAGTGGTAAGAGTTCTCACTTTTTACCAATTGCTATTCCCTACAGAGGAAATCAGCTAAGTGTTTTGTTTTGTTTTGTTTTGTTTTGTTTTGTTTTGTTTTGTTTTTGCAATACTCAGGCTTAAACTCAGGGCCTTCATCTTGAGCCACTCCACTAGCCCAGTTTTTTGTGATGGGGTTTCTTTGAGATAGGGTCTCATGAGCTATTTGCCTGGGCTGGCTTTGAACTACTGTCCTCCTGATCTCTGCCTCCTTAGTAGCTAGGATTATAGGCGTGAGACAAGTGTTGTTTTGATGAGGATACCTGTCATTATAGAATGCCTTTCTTTAGTAGCTGAGTGACAGTACAAGAACAAGCCAAGATAAGGACTTTAGTTCTTGTTTTACAAAACTGATTTTCTAATTCCATTTACAATAACCTCAAAAAAATAAAATACATAGGAATAAACTTAATAAAGGAAGTGAAAGACCTCTACAATGAAAACCATAAACCATTAAGAAAGAAATTAAAGAGAACATCAGAAGATGGAAAAATCTCCCATGCTTATGGATTGGCAGAATTAATATCGTGAAAATGAATATACTACCAAAAGCAGTCTACGTGTTCAATACTATCTCCACCAAAATTCCAATGACATTTCTCATAGAGATTGAAAAATCAACCCTAAAGTTCATTTGGAAGCACAAGAGATTGCAACTAGCCAAGGCAATACTGAACAAAAAGAGCAATGTTGGAGGTATCATAATACCTGACTTCAAACTATACTACAGAGCCATAGCAATAAAAACAGCATGGTATTGGCACAAAAACAAGACACAAAGACCAATGGAATAAACTAGAAGACCCAGACATAAATCCATGCAGCTATAGCCATCTGATTTTTGACAAAAGCATCCAAAACACACCCTGGAGAAAATACAGCCTCTTCGACAAATGTTGCTGGGAAAACTGGATATCTACATGAAGAAGACTGAAACTAGATCTCTGTCTTTCACCCTGCAAAAATATCCTATTCACAGTGGATCAAAGACCTTAATGTAAGGCCTGAAACTTTTAAAATAGTGCAGGAAAGAGCAGGAAATACACTGAAACATAAAGGCATAAACAATAACTTCCTAAATAGATCTCCAATGGCTCAGCAACTAAGAAAAAAAATTGACAAATGGTACTACATGAAATTGAAAAGCTTCTGCACAGCAATGGAAACAGTCCCACCAGACTGAAAAGGCAGCCCACAGGATGGGAGAAAATTTTTGCCAGCTATACATCTGACAAAGGATTACTAACCAGAATTTACAGTGAACTCATAAATTCTCAAAGAATCAATGACCCAATGAAGAAATGGGCAAATGAACTGAACAGAGCCTTTTCAAAGGAAGAATTACAAATGGCCAAAAAAGCACATAAAGAAATGCTCAACATCCCTGTCCATAAAAGAAATGCAAATCATTAAGATTCCACCTCATTCCTGTTAGAATGGCTATCATCAAGAATATAAATAGCTCTTCCGTGGTGTTCTCAAGCATAGTAGCCATGTCTTATCCCACTGACACTGAGTCTGAGACTGCTTACAATCCCTATGTGTACCCAGGCAACTATGATATGCACACAGGAGATCCAAGCAGGACCTTGCTTATAAATGTCAGTATGAACAGCAGACCTAGCTGGTGATTCCCTAAGTGATCAAAAACTTCATCCAGTATTTTCAAAAAACTCTCTTCAATTTGATTAATCAGAAGGTGTATAAGCTTCAGGCCAGTTGTGTCTCCAGTGATGTCATAGACCAGAAGGTAAATGAGATATAGGACATCCACGAGAACAGCTGGACTAAGCTGACTGAAAGACTCTTCAAGAATACACCTTGGCCTGAGGCTGAAGCCGTTGCTCCACACGTTGGCAACAATGCTGTATTCCTGATTGTATACAAAGAATTACACTACAGGCATTTATATGCCAAAGTCAGTTGGGGACCCTCCTTAGAGCAGAGGTCTGAATCCTATTACAACTACTGCAATCTCTTTAACTACATTCTTAATGCTGAGAGGTCTGCTTCTCTTGAACTGCCCAACCAGTGGCTTTGGGACATTATCATTGAATTCATCTTCCAGTTCCAATCATTTAGGCAGTACTGCTGCAAGACTGCCAAGAAGTCAGAGGAGGAGATTGACTTCCTTCATTCCAATCCCCAAATCTGGAATGTTCACAGCATGCTCAATGTCCTTCATTCCCTGGTAAACAATCCAACTCAACCGGCAGCTGGGGGTATACACAAGTGAAGGTGACCCCGAGAGTGTGGCTGGGGAGTATGGCCAGCACTCCCTCTACAAAATGCTTGACTGCTTCAACCTGGTGGGTATTCTGTACCAGCACTCCAGGTTAGGGGATCACTACTAGGCCATGAGGGTGCTGGAGAACATCAAACTGAACAAGAAGAGCATGTGTTCCTGTGTGCTAGAGTGCCAGGTCACCACATCTTACTACGTTGGTTTTGCATATTATGATGCATTCCACTAGGATGCATTGCCAACGTCCATCCTGTACATCCTCCTGGAACATACCAAGAGCATATTCTCATACAAGTATGAGATAATTAACAAGCAGAATGAGCAGATGCATGCACACTCTGGCAACCGCCCTCACCATGTACCCCACACAGATTAACAAAAGCATCCACCTCCAGCTGCAGGAGAAATACGGGGACAAGATGCCGTACATGCAGAAAGGTAATCCACTGGTCTATGAAGAACTTTTCAGCTACTCCTTCCCCAAGTTCCTATCACCTGTTGTGCCCAACTATGACAGTGTGCACCCCAACTACCACAACAAGCCCAGACTGCAGCAGCTGAAGGTGTTTTCTGACGAAGTTCAGCAGCAGGCCCAGCTCTCTACCATCCACAGCTTCCTCAGGCTCTTCACCATGCCTGTGGCCAAGCTGGCCAGCTTCCTTGGTCTCACTGAGCAAGAGTTCCGCATCCAGCTTCTTGTCTTCAAACACAAGATGAAGAACTTTGTGTGAACCAGTGGCATCTTCACCCCAGATGGTGAATTCCAGTTGGCCTCCGTGGTTGACTTCTACGTCAGTAGGATAAGACCCACATGCAGACACCAAGGTTGCCAGGTGCTATGGGGATTTCTTTATCCTTCAGAGCCGCAAATTTAGAGCTTACTAGAACCCTGAAGAAGATGGGACAGAGACCCTGAAGACATTTATAATCACATTAGTCAGGAACCTGTTTTGACATTGTAGGTGGGAAGTGTTTTGTCACCATGAAGCCCTTATTCAAGTCAGCCATCAGCTAAGTTGAAATTTATTGAAATTAAGGACTGAAATGTTTTAAGTAGATCTCAGTGAAGAATCTTTGTAGCCACACAAAAAAAAAAAAGAAGAAGAAGAAAAACAACATTGGTGGAGTGGCTGAAGCAGTAGAGTGCCTGACAAGCAGGGGGTGAATATGGTTGAGGCCCTGAGTTCAAACCCTAGTACTGCCAAAAAAAGAATATAAATAACAAATGCTGGCGAAGATGTGGGGGGAAAAGGAAACTTCATACACTGTTGGTGGGAGTATAATTTAATACAACCCACTGTGGAAAACAGTATGGAGGCTTCTCAAAAAATTACAAATAGAACTGCCATATGATCCAGCAATATCTAAAGGAATGTAAGTCAGGTTACAATAAAGACATTTGCACACCCATGTTTATTGCAGTATTATTTACAATAGCCAAAGCTATGGAAGCAGCTCAGATGCCCTACAATTGATGAATGGATTAAGAAAATGTGATATATATATAGGAATTTTATTCAGCCATGAAGAAGAATGAAATTTTGTTGTTTGCAGGTAAATGGATGGAACTGGAGAACATCATCTTAAGTGAAGGTAGTCAGGTTCAGAAAGACAAAGGTTGCACGCATGTTTTCTCTCATACATAGAAGGTAGATCCAATACAAATACACAAGCATTATCACATACATACATATATATACATATATATATATATATATATAGAGAGAGAGAGAGAGAGAGAACATGTTTCCAAAAGTGGAACTGTATTAAAAGAGACTAAGGTAAGAAGAAAAGAATGATAGAGTGAATAATAATGAAATACATCACATCTGGGTAGGAACAAGACACAGTTAAATGCACCAAAAACTGTCTAACAACACAGGATGGGAGTAAAGAGGTGGGGAAGAGTAGTGGAGAGGATTAGATTGATTCAAGCACAATTTGGTTGCAGGTAAAATACCAAGGCAACATCCCCACTGAGCAACAAATAGATGCTTAAACAATGAAGGACAAGAACGTAAAACAGTTCCTGTTAGAGGGAAGGTACTAGTGGAAGGGGGAGGATAAATGAAGAGGGTACAGGGGGTGAATATGGTTGATGTACTTTCTGTATATGTATGAACTTGGAACATTGAAACCTGTTGAAGTTATTTTACGAGAAATGGGATGGGAGGGAGAGTAATGGAGGGGATAGATCAAACCAGGTATAATATACGTACATATGGAAATGTCACAACAAAAACCCCTGTAAAATGATCATATACTAATAAAAATGTTTTTTAAAAACTAGTTTCAACCACTGACATGAATATTTCTCTTTTCCATTTTATCTTGCCATCCATTCTC